TCCTGTTTTGCCGCGCTCTGGGGAGTAGGCCTATTTCTTTCTTTGTTTTGTTTTTTGTTTGTTGGTTGGTTTGTTTGTTATTGGCTCCCTAGACATTTTCTTTTTTCTCTCTGGCCATTGTGTTTACTTTGGTTTTGGGTTTCCGGCATTCCCTCGAAATGCGCTCCAATTAACCAAACCATTTCCTTTGGTAGATACATTGAAGTGTTAACAAAACACAAAACGGAAAAACTTAACTGGGAGGAGGGTGTGGCAGAGCATTCTTTTGCTTTCGCGTAAGTAAAGGCACCAATTTCTTCTTGATATTCAGATAGTACTGTCTGTCATAGTTCTTGAGAAATCCCAAGGAACACGGAGAATATCTCGCTGCGCGGGATTGTATAAATTTTATTTTGGAGTGGTAAGAATAAGCTATTGGATGAGGTTAAGCTATTGGATGAGGTTAAGCACGATATCATGAAGTATCGATACCGAGGTCTGAGTTATCTGCCAAAGCCTAAGGCTGAGGGAGATAAAACGGACACGAACTTTGATAATTAGTGATATCATGCGAAAACCGAACTCAGTGGCTGATTTATTGCACATTTTTTTAACAATCTTCAAAAGGTGAGGAGGGAGGGGTGGGTGAGGAGGGGGGGAAGAGGTAAAATATATCTTGAAAGAGAGGGAATTAGAGTGTATCTACTCTAACTTGCATTTCTCAAAGCTAAATTGAGAATCACCACCATTCAATTACTGGTAAACCCAAGAAATGGGCATGATAATTTGCATGTATTCAATGTTTAAAGTTATAGCAATCCAAACATAGTCATATATAAATTTTTTTAATTTTTAAATGTGCTTCTTCCTCTTTCTTCCTTTTCCAATTTATTTCAGGGAAATCATTTTGATGGTCTTACACTAGAGGTGTGGAGTCAGTATACTGGTGACACAAAAGAGTAGGTTGAAACTTTATTACAGACTGAGGTTGTTCATCAGTAGGTTCTTCTTTCTCTACTTTCCATCAGTCAGTTTGTTAGTGAGCAGGTCAGTCACTTAGAATTTCAATCAGTCAGTCAGAATTAGTCAGTCAGTTAACATTACTGTCAATCAGTTTGTAGTCAGCCAGTCAGACTTGCAGGTGAGATGAGATGAATGAGGGGGGGTGAGTTTCTAAAATAAACTGTGGTGCTGGAGGGGAGGGTGGTATTAACTGAGTCATTTTTATTCTGTGCATTCAATCAGTCAGTTTGTCAACTACTTGATTAGGCAGATACATCCACACAGAGAAAGAGATAAACTAAATAATAGACGGATAAAAAGACAGGCATATGGACTGGGTTTCAATCCGTTAGTCTGTAAGAAAGGACAATCTTTCCTAAATTAGACATCATTGCTAAACACTCTACTTTGAAAACCTAGTTGAATACAAACTGTGTATTTATCCATTACCTGTACTTCCATTCATGTCTTTTAGGGACTTGTATCTTTTGGTCAGTAAAATGGCTGACTCTCTTCACAAAGAAAAGCTCAAGATAATTTTGGTCATTCCTCCTCCTTTCTATGCCGGGTAAGCTCTCTAATCCACATCTAATTTAGTGTGACGGTTTGTTGTGACAATTAACTAATCACTCAGGAAAATATTAGGAAAGAACCCGATTCAAAGTCATTAACATCATCACCATTATCAGCGTCACCATCATCACTGTTTCCACCACTGTCATTATGGTAGTCGTTGTCATCATTAAGCACTATTATATGTTTAATATTTATTTTTGTAGCGATAGTTCGCATTATCAATATCACTGTCATTACGGCGGTCGTCATCATCATTATTAACATTAATATTTGTATATTTGATATTTATTTATTTATTTATCTATTTAGTGGTGGCTTTTGCATTGTATCGCCTCTTTTGTCATGTTTTCCTTTCAGCAAGAAGCCAGGATCGTTTGACAAAAATGACTTAGAATTATTAGCACCAGTCCTGGATGGCTTCAGTTTGATGACTTATGATTATTCCTCTCAAGGGAGGTTAGTAGTTTTGAGAGGAAAGGTCAGCGGTAGTTGCTGAAAGTAAAGTGAGCGCCAGAACATATTAATATACTTAGCTACGAATCCACATGTTGAGAACGATGTAGCCCTTGTGCAGCCGCCCCAACCTTCCAAAAGGAAATCAGGAAATCCCGATTTTCTTTTGGAAGGTAGGGGGGCGGCTGTACACAGCCGGCGGAATTTTCAGTGCTCGTCAGCAAAGACACTTGTAAACAAACACGTGGCGGTCGATTATTATCAAGATTCCAACGAAACTTGATTGCCATGATAGGAGCAATGTAAATGTTTCGTGAGATTGGTGCTCTTCGTAAAGGAGGTAGATGGAGTTTTACACGTAGTCTAAGAAGTAAAGAATCCTCTTAACTCGTCTCTTATCATCAAGCGTGACCTTTTGTTTGATTAGCTGAATTAGACGAGCAGTTTGATTGGTTCTTTATTGTGGTCTATTGGAGGACAGACGCTAGGTCAGGATGACGTCACCATTAACGACAAATTACCGTGGGTTCTTGCGCATTTTGATGTCATCCGTGATATATAACTGAACAGACCCACGGTAACGTAGAATTTATTTGGTAAATGCAAATTATTTCTGATTTACGCCATCGCTGTTTTATCTAGACCGGGTCCCAATGCCCCTTTGCAGTGGATGAAGGATTGTGTCCTAACGTTGAGTCCGGAAAAAGGGAAGCATCGGTCAAAAATTCTCATGGGCCTCAATTTCTACGGCCAGGAATTCGCTGCAACAGGAAGTGGACGTAAGTTGAAACAAGAGAGGAAGTGAGAGCACCTTATGTAATGACTTTTATCTTCACCTTTAGAAGCATGTTTAAAATTGTGGACTGACCGAAACGTCAGCTTAGAAACTCTTTTCAGTGGTCAGTTTATGTTATCAACTCATTTGATAAAACCAAATAATCTTGTTATACTCCTCAACGACGCGGCACCACAGTTTCTGTAGAGAATTACCCCCTTTATTCATCCATGAAAGAAACCGCGTGCTCATAGCCACTCAGCAATGCGATGCGTGACATAGATGTATAATGTTCGAAGTAAGTGGCTCAAACCTGTTTTGTCGTACAGCCAGATGAGAGCTGTTCCTTGCAATTCAACCCTTTACCTAACCATGTTCAATTTCCAATTTTTAGCCGATCATTCTTTAACATTTTTTTGGTTTCTCCTTTTTGAATCCTTGATTTTCCGCTACACAGCTATCTTAGGATCAAGGTGAGTGAGTCGTGAAGGAATACTGATTACTATTCTATTTGCTCTGACATGATTGCACGATGTGAATAATTAAAAGAAATTTTCAACGAGTTTCGTACGTGGTTTACTTTATATCACCCTGTGATTGGTCAAGGTAACTCTGGTCAGGTCACTTTCGCAACCAACCAGGTGAAACTCCAACCCACTCAATCTCTCCTGTTTTGCCGCGCTCTGGGGAGTAGGCCTATTTGTTTCTTTGTTTTGTTTTTTGTTTGTTGGTTGGTTTGTTTGTTATTGGCTCCCTAGACATTTTCTTTTTTCTCTCTGGCCATTGTGTTTACTTTGGTTTTGGGTTTCCGGCATTCCCTCGAAATGCGCTCCAATTAACCAAACCATTTCCTTTGGTAGATACATTGAAGTGTTAACAAAACACAAAACGGAAAAACTTAACTGGGAGGAGGGTGTGGCAGAGCATTCTTTTGCTTTCGCGTAAGTAAAGGCACCAATTTCTTCTTGATATTCAGATAGTACTGTCTGTCATAGTTCTTGAGAAATCCCAAGGAACACGGAGAATATCTCGCTGCGCGGGATTGTATAAATTTTATTTTGGAGTGGTAAGAATAAGCTATTGGATGAGGTTAAGCTATTGGATGAGGTTAAGCACGATATCATGAAGTATCGATACCGAGGTCTGAGTTATCTGCCAAAGCCTAAGGCTGAGGGAGATAAAACGGACACGAACTTTGATAATTAGTGATATCATGCGAAAACCGAACTCGGGGGCTGTTTTCTTGCACATTTTTTAAACAATCTTCAAAAGAAGACAATTCTCTCTGAGTTCGAGCACCACACGGAGAAGGAGCTTGGAAACTAGGTAGACTTTGAACTCAACATGATAACCCAATATCTGCAGCAGAAATTGGGTTATCGTATTAACTTCACACGCTATTGTATATTCACTATATGCTCTCGACCAATCAGAGTTGTCACGGTAAAGTTTAATGTATAGTCACAAGATTTAACCATCGAGTACTGTGAGTACATGTTCTATTTCACGAGAGCAAATGTAATTCAAATCTTCAAGCTACCGTCTGATTTTCTGTTGATAATATAGGCCGGAAAAGAGGTGCAAAATTCCAGGCGAAGTTTACGTCAACTGGGTCTCTTTCTCCTTTTGCGAGGAATTCGTCAAAAAATTTAAAGTCAAGTGAAGTTTTCCTATTTGTAAGGTCATTTGCTTGCATAAGAAAAGGCTTTTACTTCAGCTTTCGAACTCGCTAGTTTTCACCAACAAACGTGCAAAAGCGGGAAAAACGTCCTCACGGCGTTCATGATTGAGTCAAAAATCACAGAGTATTCTCTCGAGAGGCTTTCTTTATACTTTATACCCTCGTGCACTTTGTTACTATCCAGTTAACAACTCTGGGGATGTCTTCCAGTCGGTGGGTTTATCGTGATACTTGGGGAACGAAAGCTGTAAGTGACCGTTCAGGATCAATGTAGAGTGTGCGTTCTTTAATTACCCTTCCACATTAAAATTATTCACTTTAAAACTTCCCACGTCATATTTACAGTGCTGCTGGAACCCAACATTCTATGTTTTACCCAACGCTTAAGGTGAGAGTTTGTTGTTGAAGTTTGTTGCGTAGGACCTACTTCTCAACTTTATGACTCGTGCAAATGGCAAACTTTAATTCAGTTACACTGACTAATATTTCAAAGAGGAAAAAAAAACTATATATATATTTAGAAGTAGTGTGGCACACGAGGATGGACAACTTCGAGCGAAGGAAGACATAAACTTTTTAGATTTTTTATTGAGTGTATGTCTTCCTTCGCTCGAAGTTCTCCGTCCTCGTGTGCCACACCACTTCTCCTATCATTTCTATCATTTATCGAGGTTTGGACTACGAATCCTTTTGGATCCTTCTGGCGCGGCGTCTCTGTTGGCTCGAAGCCTGTTAACTTGTTATATATGTGTATATATAGTATAATTTCAGAGCTGAACAAAGATTTTCCAGCAATCTGATTGGTCGAGCGGTTCCTTATATGACGCTATATGAACCGCGCCGCGCGATTTATATAAAATGTTAAACTAAAATGTTAATAAATGTTACTAAAATGTTATGATTTTAGAAATTTCTCTGTTGTTCAGCTCTGAAATTATACTAAAACAATTATTCGCCTCAGGTTCGGTGAATATT